ACAAGCTAACTTCCAGAAGAAACTCCTTCTGGACAAAAGAAGGACTCGTCGTTCTGCCCTGCTGGCATTGCAGCCCCGCACAAGGGCTGCTGCACAAGTGATGCCCTCAGGATCTGAGAAAAAGACAAGAGGAGCAAGCACACTGCCTTTGGCCACACAGCACGTGCTTCAACCTACCTAGGCAAACTGGGGGGCTTGACCACTGCCCGTCAGTACAGGTGATATACTGAGATCCTTCCAGCACGTAGAGACTTGGGCATTTGTATTCCAGAGTTGTACCTTGAGGATATTCTTGCATGGGGAAGGAAAGGAGGTCTCCATTTTCAATAACTGGGGGCGAGCCACATTTCCCACCTTTCCCTGAAAGAAAATTCCCAATCAGAGGGAAAGCCATGAGAGTTTAATCGCAACGCAGGCCTGGCCACAAATACTACCGGCCAGTACGTTGGCACTCCTCTGAGAGACCTGGAGGAAAGCAGAGAGCAAACCAGGTGAAAAAGAGCCAGAGTTTCTCATTTCTCCAGTGCTGGGACTCACAACTACCATTTGTCCACGGCTGAAGGGCTTGCAGCTGTCTGCAGGACTTCCTCTCACCCGCCATAACGGTGTAGCGTTTGGCACAGCTCTTTCTGTCCAAGAGCCTGACACCCACCTCCTCCCTGTACTGCCTGAGCAGTGAGAAAAGTGGACCCGATTGCAAACGATAACGACTGTCACCGAACTGCACCTTTGCAACCTCTAACGGGATAGCCCTTGGGCTCTGTGGGCCACGTACGGCCGCTGGGGAGTTCACACATGCCAATCCTGAAGCACTGCTGCCTCACGGATTTTTACACCTATTCAAGCACCATACTGCTGCCGAGTCTGGCCTTTCAACGGACTTTGCTTTGGGAAATCTTCAGAGAAGACCCAGGTCCCTTGGTTCGAGCAGCGACACTCTTTGCACTTGGCATTGTGTTCTGGAGCCACAATATGGAGCCTGGTCTGCATTAACCTGCTGTTTCTGCACCCCTTTCAGCTGCCAGATGGGTGGTGTTTGAGTCAAAGGCTGCTGTATTGGTTCATGTGCTGAAACTTTCTGTACGTCTAATGAAAACAAATGAGAGTATTCAGTGCGCTCATGAAGTCCTAGGAGGCACCGACACAGTACCTAGGTATTGGCTCACACATCAGATTCTACCCTCAGTTAATTTAACAGTTGGTTTGACTCCGTGGCATTCAATATAGCAACGCATCATCTGCATTATCTGGGTGTCAACTAGCCGGGAAGCTGTGGGCTCTGTTCTCCAACACAGATGGCAAAATTTCTCAATCTCTTCTCGTCAGGCAGGCACAGAAAGTAGATTCTAAGAAGTCCAAGGGTTGCGTCTCAAAATTAGACCTGGCCAGCAACTGCTGTCAGCCTGCTCTCAGGGTGGTTTTCCAGATGGGGCCCTCTCGAGTGAGGCCAGCTGGGTCACTCAGCTGGTAAACTCATCTGAATAGATAGCTGGGAAAATGGCTTTTTCCTGAGTATGCCAGATACGTTGCATTTGTGCACAGCAATGAGACTGAAATTTGGAGAAGTAAATGCCACTGAGTCGGCTTTGTGACAGTCTCGCTGACAGGCAACTGTATGAAGACAGAGAGAAATTACCTTTGCACTTTGGCAGCACTGTCCAGGTTCCATTCCGACACGCTACGGCGGAAGCCCCAGTCATCTGAAAACCTTGCCAGCACTGATAGTGCGCACTCTCCCCAGGCAAGTATCTTGACTTTTTAACACCTTGAACTTTACCACCAGCAATTTCTGGAGGAGGTTCACACGTCACATCTGAAAAGAGGCACTGCTGCAGTCATGTTTGCAGTTGTCAAGGTGTTCCCCGATACAACCGACAGTTAAAGGAATCAACCTTGTTACAATTTCTGTGCAGATTTTCTGCCTCAGGTGGGTCACAGCTCCAAGAGTTCACCACGGAGAAAGCAATGAGGTGTGACAGTGGCAGCAGAACACTCTTTCTGGGAGTCTCAGGAGATGGCAGGGTCAATGAGAGCTTCTAGAAAAAGCCAGCGTTGGCAGGTTCAATGAGAGCTTCTAGAAAAAGCCAGCGTTTCTGTAGCTAAACCTTACGGCACAGGAAGCCACAGCAGCCTTCCTGCGTGCCCATGTCCCTCCCCAGGGAGCCCT